CCATTCCCGGCTCGTTCCAGCAGCCCTGGCTGGGAATGCGGGCTCTGGAGTCAGGCGGAACTCCGTGGGTCACGCCACTTCTTGTTTGGGTTTTTTTTACGAAGAGGGTCTTGAAGTCGGCAAGAAGTGGGTAAAAACCAGGCTGGGGACAGCGATGACAGCCCCGGGGAGGGTAGGGATGAGTTCACGGCAGCCCGGCAGGGAGATGCCCGGGAGGTGGCCAGCAGGGATTGGAGGTGGGATGCTCCCCTTGGCACCCTCGGGCTGCCGGCGCTCCCCCTTCCTCCCCCTGGAAGAGCTGTGCGCATTCCTGCTCTCCCCGGCACACACGGGCAAGGTGAACGCGTCCCTCCCTCCCTCCCTCTCTCCATCCATCCATCCATCCATCCATCCATCCATCCATCCATCCATCCCCCCCTGCCTGGAAGTTTCCCGCTGTTCCTAACCCAAATCCCGCTCCTTCTCCCCGTGACCTCCGGGGTCGTGCCCAGCCGCTCCCCGCTGTGGTTTTTAGGGGAGGGGTCTCCAAAGCCCTGCAGCAGCCGGAGCGGCGGCTCCGCCAGCCCCGGCTCAGGAGGGGACAGAGGAAGGGCAGGGCGGGCTCCAGCAGCGGCTGCGTGCCGGGGTCTTCCTCACCCCCAGCTTGGCCGGGAAAGGGGGTGCGCAGCCCCCCTGCGCCGGCTGCGACTCCCCGAGGGGACCCCGCGGAGGCTCCAGCCCTTGTCCTTGGCGTTTCTCAAGGATTTATCCGTCTCTGCTGGCTTTTGGGGGTGGCGGGTGGATGGCGGGGGGGTCGCCCCGGGGGTCGGGCGCGGTGCCGGCCGGGGCTGTGCCCGGCGGGGAGCGGAGCGCCGCTGGCCGCCGGCTTTACCTTGCACGTCCCCATTGTGTTTGGTCCACCTACGCCGTGCCGTTGCCATGGCCACCGTGCCATCTGATCTGCCCAACTCCTGCCAGCTTCCCCTGCCCTGCCCTGCCCCAAAACCTCCGGCCCGGCGGCGGGGTGGTGGCCGAGGGACACCTTGACCCTCCCCGTGCGGGGCTCCGGGGCGCTCCCGCATGAGGGAGCGATGGCTCAGAGACCCCCCCCTGCTCCCCTCATGAGCAGGCTGAGGGTGTGCCGAGCACGAAATGCGGTCCCCGGCGCACCTGGGGGGCGGGAGGGGGGCCCGACCTTGGCCGGGGCTGCTGCAGGAGGGAGATTTTGGAGCCCCAGCATGGCTGCTCCTCGGCAGAGCACGTCCTGATGCATTGCTCCGAGCAGGCGCTGCAGATTCGCCTCGCACCGGGAGAGGAGGAGGCTGGAGCCGGGGCCAGGCGTGCAAAGCCACCCGTGGCCAGCGGGGTCGGGGCTCTGGTGTCACCTGCGCTGTCCCCAGGGGCCGCGGGGGAGGTCGGGGCTGTAATTAGCGCTGATGGGCTTGGAGAAGAGGGGGCGCGGGGGTAGGTGGAGGGGCCTGGAGGGGAAATTTGGAGCGGCGAGGTTGTGCTGGGGGGGGTCTGCGGGGGAGGCCTGACGTTGAGTCGCCGTGACAGGCGGCTGTGGCATCTCTGATGTCACCTCGATGGCCATCAGAGCCCTCCTTGGGTGGAGGGGCGGCACAGCCCAAGGCTCTGCCTGAAAGAGGAGCAGCAAAACCTCGCGGTGGGCTCTGGGTGACACACCGAGGAGCCCAGGTGTGACGGGAATGAGCCCCAGCCCTCCCGCGTGCCATCCTGTCCCCGCTGTCCCCTCCCCTGGCCACGTTTGAGAGGCGCCTGCGACAACTGCGAGACCTCAGGTGACAAAACCTGCAGGCGCCGGCGTCGCTCTCCGCTCTGTCTGCTCACTGTTTGCATCCTTCTCCCCGTCTTGTCACGTTGCTATTCCCACTTTAACTCGCTTTCCCTGGCGCTGAAAAGCGTTAAAAGCGGAAAAAAAAACCCACCCAAAACAAACCAAAACAAAAAAACTTTAATAAGGAGAAACAGATTAAATTCACTTGGCTGTTATTTTTCAAGGAGGTTTTTGTTTGTCAAGACGCGGTGCCCGAGGGTGGGGGACTCGATCGGGAGCTGGAACTCCTGGAAATGAGTTAATTAAAAAGCCGATGAAGCTGCCTCCGTCCTCCCTTGGAGCGCAGCGTGCCGGGGTGGCGGCTGCTGCTGCTGCCCGTTCGGCAGGGACACGGTCGTGCCTCGTTAATCACCAACAAATTTGGGATTTAATTGCCAGCCAGGGGAAGTCCCCCCCTCTCGGTCTCGGACTCCCTTGGATTTCATTTCATTTCCCTCCCTCTGCTCCTGGGACAACCGCAGAGACCGTTTAATTTATTATTTTTTTAATTTTTATTTTTATTTTTTATTTTTATTTTTATTTTTATTTTTATTTTTATTTTTATTTTTATTTCTTATTTCTTATTTCTTATTTTTATTTCTTATTTTTATTTCTTATTTTTATTTTTTAATTATTTTTATTTTTAATTTATTTTTTTATTTTTATTTTTTATTTCCACCTCCCCATTAAACTTAACTCCCAAAATATTCCTGATGACATCACTCCAGCCTTGTGTCCTTCCCTCCCAGCGGCTTCAGGGCAGCATCTCCCCGCCCTCCCTGCTTCTCCTGCCCCTCATCCCCGCGCTTTGGGGACCCCCAGCCCCTCGTTATCCCCTGCTTTGGCAGCAGCACGGACATGACTCTCATTGTAATTATAAATCGCAGCCTCTGTAATTCCCCGCACCTTGCGCAGGGTTCCTGCTGCAAGGAGCCGCCTGCTTTATGGCTCGGAACGCGGCTGTCGCTTCCAATCCTCTCCCGGCCCATTATCTCCCTTTGATGCTTCTGAAGAGCCAGCGAAATGTTAATTCCGCCTCGGCCCCTCTCCTTTCCCTTCCCCTCTGGAGAAATCCAGCCTGGAAGGGGCTGGCAGGGACCTGGGCACCGAGCTGGGGCTGTCCCCGCTCTGTCCCCTGGCTTTGGGGGATGTGGCTGTGCCCTTCTGGGCATCACAAAAACACATCCTCCGCTTTTTTGGGGATCTTTGGGATGGGTGAAGGAGGCTCGGGGCGGGCTGGGCAAGGCGCCGGGGGACAGATGGAGCCCAGCGAGGGCCGCTTGGCGCTGGCAAACAGCAGCAGATTGTCAGCCCTGGATGCTCCGGGCTCCCGGCAGGGGACAGGCAGCGCGTCCCTGTCCCCAGGGCAAGGTTGGACCCGCCGAGCTGGGATAGGGATGGGCTCTGTTCCACCCCGTGCCCCAAATCGCTGCCAGAAGGTTCTGGATTCTCTCCCGCGGCACTCGGGGGCCGTGGTGTGAGGTGGGGCCGTGATTTATGGGCTCGGTGATAAGCTCGTCCAGTCATCCCGAAATAATAAATAAAAATCCACGCCCGGCTCTGGCACCAGATGGGATCAGCAATATCAGGGCACAGGAAAATCACTGAGGCTCCTCAGCGGCCAGATGAAGAGTGGGGAGGGAAAAAGGGAAAAGTTGGGGAAGGGAAAAGTCGGGAGCGTCTTTTCCTGCCTGAAAAGGGGGATGGGGCCTTTGGGGGCTGCTCCTGGAATTTGGAATCCCATGGAAGGAGGGTCTCAGTAGTTAAATGGGAGGAAGGAATGAGGGAATTGAGGAATTAGGAGGATCTGAGTGTCCCCTGGGTGTGACATCGGCACCTCCAGGCCTCGGGGAGCGGGCAGGGGGTGAGCTGGGGGGGACCAGCTGCTGCTGGAAGGGAAGGGCCTGGGGATTGGGTCCTGTCCAGTCCAAATCAGCTGGAAAGCAAAACCCTGCCCATTTAAAACGGGATTTGTCGAGGTTTCCTGGCGCAGACTTCCCCGGGAGCGGGAGCAGTGACAGAGCTGCTGTCCCCGCAGATCCCGGGGACATTCCCGGCTCCGGGCAGGGCTGGCACATCCCGGGGCTCGGGCGAGTTCCAGCCGAGCCCTGGGAGCTGCTGGAGCCTCTGCCGGGGCTGGAGCCTTGGGATGGACACGGGGCACTGCTGGAATTGGGGTTTGTCCCCTTGCAGGGCTGGGGGGGACTGGTGCTGCTGCTTTGTGCCCAGTGTCACTTGCCCCGAGCCCAGAATCACTGGCCCTGAGCCCAGAGTCACTTGCCCTGCGTCCAGAATCACTGGCCCTGCGTCCAGAATCACTGGCCCTGTGTCCAGAATCACTGGCCCTGAGCTCAGAGTCACTGGCCCTGTGTTCACTTGCCCTGCGTCCAGAATCACTGGCCCTGCGTCCAGAATCACTGGCCCTGTGTCCAGAATCACTTGCCC